TTGGAGAATTTCTGAAACTCCTTAGAGCAGGAAAATCATCGCAAAAATAACTGAAAAGAGCATTTTCTCAGGAAAAGCGACTTTTCCGGAAAAATGATGGGTGATCGGAAAAATCGGAGATCATGTTTGAATTCAACAGTTTAAAATACAATGGAATCGATGTATCACACATCGGAGACATATTTACAATGAATTTTGAATACACTGTGAGTCGGGCAAAGCTTTTACAATATACAATTTTAGGCTCGGAAAAATCGACTTTACTGGAAATCTGAAGTGTGATAGAAAAAAACCGAGATCATATTCGGATTCAACGGCTTCAAATACGTAAGTAACATACTACCACGGGTCCAGAACAATTTATAAAAATTAATTGCATACACGACACATATCCGTCGGATTCGCTCATTTTCCCGGGAAAAAGTTGCTTTCCCGGAAGACTGAGAGGTGAACGGGAAAAATCAAGGTGATTTCCGGACTCATCAGTTAAGAACACATCGTCAAAATTGAATCTCGTAGCTACGAGAAATTTTGTCTACATTCTGCAGGGGATAACAGCCAGAAAAACACCAAAAATGGACATTTTTCCCAGTAAAATCGGGTTTTTCGGAAAATTGGAGGGTGCAGGAAAAAAACAAAGGTCATATTCGGATTCAGTGCCTTAAAATGCATAAAGTTCACCTTATGTCGTCCAGGAGACATTTTTTTATTTTGGTGTGTTGTGCAGTGTTATGAGGCACATAACGAAAGATGGATATTAGCGGTTTTCGCATGATTCGGACCACGCCCCCCCCCTTCCCCCCTGAAAAGGGGTTCAAACCTAAGGAACAAGCATTTTCACCACATTATTAAGTGTGCCTGACGTCCGAGAGTATTTTATCCCAAAAATCTCAAAATTGAAAAAAATGGACATTAGCGGTTTTTGCACGAGCTGATTCAAATAGAAACTGATCACCTAAATAAGTTCTATCTTTACTCCCAATAAACTATAAATTCAAGCCAAAAATTACACTTGTAAATTGAATTTCTTGCATGATTTCAGTGATTTGATAACAAAGAATGTAAGTTGCACAATTCCAACGACATTGGAATGCTCTTGGTCAGGCCCGCCACATCCCATCTCGGGCCCTGGTACCAGTTTTAAGGTCCGGGCCCCAAGCACGGAGGCGGGGGGGATCCGAGGGGCATCCTCCGAGAAATTTTTGAATTTATACGACTAATCGGACGCATTTTGAAGCTTCCATAAAGAATTATCCAATCAATTTATGCGAAATAGTTATGTTTTTTTTTTTTTCTACTTTCAACACAAAATACTTGCGAATGGTTGCATTCAAAACATCAGGAACATTATTATTTATTTATTTTTTTTTTGGGGGGGGGGGGAATATGATACTATTTTCACTTCTAAGAGGGCCAGGCCCCCCTGTACTCCCCCTTCGTTTGTCTATGGCAAGGGAGTTGAGCCATGAGCCATTGAAGTGGAGGATGCCCAGACTGGAGACTCTTAGCATCTAACGACGGAAGAAAATGAAACGGAGTTACTAAAAATATCCCTTTGTACTGAAAATCTTGAAAAAAGATAGTAATTTTCTAGGAAGTATACTTCTTTGAACATTTAAGAAGAATTCTACAGTGCCATAGCGTGTTTTCGAAAATCTATTCACCTTTTGCGAAATTTTTAGGGTGAATTTTTCCCTTTTTCTTACGAAACAAGAGTTGCATGTGAATTCGTAGTGGTTTTTCACGGGTAACACAGGCCCCGGTACCAGGGACCCAGTATCCCACCCTTGTGGCGGGCCTGCCTTCATGCACGCTGGGCTTGTCAATTTCCTTTGACATTTTTATAAAGGTGAATGCATAGCTGAAGTGCGCTTCAGCTAGAATTGTACATAGCAAATGGGTAATTTTTATAGGAGGATTATAAATAAACAAGTGGATAGAAATGGAAACAAAATAATATGAACTATATGCAAAACGATTATTTCGATAACGGAACTTGGCTGTTTTGAAAACGCCTTCAGATGCAGCGTGTTACCTCACGCATTCCCGAGAGTTCAAATAGTTGTATCATTGCGCCTTAGAAATGCGACGGAAGATTTAAATGGAAATAACCTCCATGCACGCTGGGCGTGTCGATTTCCTTTGACATTTTTGCAGTGGTGAATGCATAGCTGAAGTGCGCTCCAGCTAGAATTGTATTAAGCAAATGGGTGGTTTTTCTGCGAGAATTAAAAATAAACAAGTGGCACGGAATATAACAAAAGAATATGAACTCTGCAAAACTATAATCCGGGTATCAGAACTTGGCTGATTTGAAAACGCCTTCAAATGCGGCGTGATACCTCACGCATTCCGGAGAGTTCAAATAGTTGTATCATTGCGCCTTAGAAATGGGACGGAAGATTGCAATTGAAATAGCTTTCATGCACGCTGGCCTTTTCGATTTCCGTTAACATTTTTGCAGTCATGAATGCATTTAAGTGTGCTTCAGCTAGAATTTTATTTAGCAAAGGGGTGGTTTTTCTGCGAGGATTAAAAATAAATGAGTGGTACGGAATATAACAAAGGAATATGAACTATGCAAAACGATTATTCCGATAACGGAACTTGCCTGTTTTGAAAACGCCTTCAAATGCGGCGTGATACCTCACGCATTCCAGAGAGTTCAAATAGTTGTATCATTGCGCCTTAGAAATGCGACGGAAGATTTTAATGGAGATAGCCTCCATGCTCGCTGGGCTTGTCGGTTTCCTCTGAAATTTTTGCAGTGGTGAATGCATAGCTGAAGTGCGCTTCAGCTAGAATTGTATTTACAAATGGGTGGTTTTTTTACGAGGATTAAAAATAAACAAGTGGCACGGAATATAACAAAAGAATATGAACTCTGCAAAACTATAAGCCGGGTATCGGAACTTGGCTGATTTGAAAACGCCTTCAAATGCGGCGTGATACCTCACGCATTCCGGATAGTTCTTATAGTTGCATCATTGCGCCTCATGAATGTGACGGAAGATTTCAATGGAAATAGCCTTCATGCAGGCTCGCCACATCCTACCTCGGGCCCTGGTACCAGTTTTAAGGTCCGGGCCAAAAGCACGGAGGCGGGGGGGATCCGAGGGGCATCCTCCGAGAAATTTTTGAATTTATACGACTAATCGGACGCATTTTGAAGCTTCCATAAAGAATTATCCAATCAATTTATGCGGAATAATTATGTTTTTTTTTTTCTACTTTCAACACAAAATACTTGCGAATGGTTGCATTCAAAACATCAGGAACATTATTATTTATTTTTTTTCTTTTTTTGGGGGGGGGGAATATGATACTATTTTCAGTTCTAAGAGGGCCAGGCCCCCCTGGACTCCCCCTTCGTTTGTCTATGGCGAGGGAGTTGAGCCATGAGCCATTGAAGTGGAGGATGCCCAGACTGGAGACTCTTAGCATCTGACGACGGAAGAAAATGAAACGCAGTTACTAAAAATATCCCTTTGTACTGAAAATCTTGAAAATAGATAGAAATTTTCTAGGAAGTGTACCTACTTCTTTGAAAATTTAAGAATATTTCTACAGTGCCATGGCGTGTCTCTGAAAATCTATTCACCTTTTGCGAAATTTTTAGGGTAAATTTTTCCCTTTTTCTTACAAAACAAGAGCTGCATGTGAATTGGTAGTGGTTTTTCACGGGTAACACGGGCCCCCTGTACCAGGGACCCAGTATCCCCCCCTTGTGGCGGGCCTGCTCTTGGTTCCTTTTAGCAAAATGCAATTCAAATAAAATAGCTCTATAAATCTGAGAGGACTAGGGCTTTAGTTTTTTTTAAAAAAGAAACAAAAAAAAACCATTTTTATAGGCCAATTCCCTGCTTTATTATGCCGAAATTTTTCTAATGAGCTGAAAATTTGCAGAAAGCTGACTCTAAAGTACCCTGATGAAAGTGGAATAAAAATGGACATCACATGTACGGGTGGGATTTAAACTAGCCTCTCCCTTAAATTTGTCGCTTTTCTAGTGGTCAATTACTGGATCAGCTATAACAAATAGATGTTTAGACATACAGAAGTTAGAAAGCGATGAGCCCACAGATTACACACAAAATATGACAGGAGAAAAATAGCTAGGGTTGAGGACGAACGTAAAAGGAGAAGAGTGCTTGATTGCGGTCCAGTAGTTGCGGACTAGAAGTAGAGGAAAGAATCCGGGGGTGAAGTCCAGAGCCTTAGCGGGCACAAACGCAGCCAATCCACATCAATTCGATTGGGAGCCCCGTGAGCGTCTTTCGAGGAGGGCAATCGAGATCGGATTTTAATTCCCTCCTGTTTTACGAGGGAATGGCATTCTGGCCAGGAATTATATCCCATCTCGTCAACGAACCAGTTGGCCTGCCCTACTGCAATTCGTTCCTCGAACGAAAGCAATAATAGCCCCATTCACCTCCGAGTTCGAGATTCCGGATCCGAAATTCTTTTGCCTGCTTCGGCCTCTTGATCGAATTTTTCGATCGAAAAGCGACGCTTGGTCGTTCGCGAACTCGGAGGGCGATCAAATTAATTTCAATTCCCTCTGGACCCCTGATATCGAGAGAGTAGTTGTAGACACTCTGTTGCCACCTTCACTTGCCCGTGTCATTTAGTCACTTTACAAAATGATTTGCAACTCGTTTGTTATTCTTAAGAAAAAATCCTTAAAACCGTGCAGGCAATTTGCCAACAAGTCATTTTCAAAGCGTTGTAAATCGGCGAGTTTTTTTGTTTAATGAGCTTAGCGAGGTCTCATTCGATCGGTAATTATATTCTCTAGAGCTCTGCCTAAACCGCACGTTGATATCTTTTTTAGTTTTCTCAATTGCCATGGTTGCATTCTTTTTGGAATAGCCTATGTACTTATTTATAACTAATAATAATACTTTTTCTTTGGATGTACTGGAAAGGACATTATGCTCGACTAAATAAGAGAAGCAATTTAAAATATCATGATAATAAATAATAAATACATTCGAAACAATGTTTGAAATGTGTTCAATTAATACATACTTTCATATTCTGTTTCTATACATAATGTGTGCAAATGAAATTGTTATTAATGGCATTGGTCTGCTAGCGCACAACTCGCACCAGATGTGTCAATTCAAACTTCGTGCCACTCGAGTCCCTACTAGTACGTCATAAACATGGCGCAGAAATGGGAGATTGCACTAACCTCCGTTCAATCGATTTTGCCTGCCCCAACATAGGTCGTATCTCCAACTGCGGCCATTTTGCGCATTTTTTTCATTGCTAATTTTTTTTGTTTCCTTGACCTCAGCCCTGCAGTGTTCATTCTCATGCGAACAGGGTCCTAGGCATTCTCTGTCATCATGCCACCTTGTTTGAAAGCTGAGAGTGTAACCGATAGGTGGGTTTCAAAAGATATTAATTGTACGGGTAGTTTTGAAGTAAAAACAAAAATATATTTACTTTAGAAACAACCCTTGTCAATTCAAGGGTTTCTTACTTTTACAAGAATCATCACAGTTCACCATAGATTGTGCAAAAAAATGCCTCTTGCATCGATAAAAGCTCTGAGAAAAAAGAATAAAACAAACAAATTACAAAACTATTTTAGAGGCTTATTTGGTTTCCTTCGAAATTTCAGAATTCTTGGATGAGACAAAGGAGGCCTGAAAGTTTCTAAAACTTAGTTATAACATGGTGCTCAGTGGAAATGTCCAGCGTAAAATGTCCAAGAGACAAAATGTCCTGGTTAAAATGTCCAATTGTCATAATGTCCACGACAAAATGTCCAGAGGCTGAAATGGCCAAAATTTAAAACGCCCAAAACCCAAAATGTCCAAAACCTAAAATGTCCGAAACTTAAACGGGCGTAAAACAAGTGTCTTTTGCCTCGCCTTTATATGTGGCAACAGGTCAGAGAGACAGCTGAAGTTAATTTCATATTATGAACAGTGATGCCAGGCGTACGGATTTATCCGTGCCGCGCGGACATTCCCTATACCGACACGGACCGCGTACGGACAAAAACCTTTTGGGAAAAACTCTTCCCTATCTTAAACTATCCGTACGCGTGACGTCACAGAATGACGCTCAGCCAATAGCAGCACGGAGAGCGGTAGAGCGTACGGATCTCGCACACGGAGCACCCGGGAACACTGATTATGAATGAGTGTAGGTTTTCATATTTGAGATTACCATGACGATGCTGCAGGAAACAGAATTGTCAATCGTACTTCTCAATTTGGATCAAAAACTGAAATCGTAAGTGCCATAAAATTTGCATAGTCTTTCATTTTTAATATGTTGTGTATGATTGGACCTAAATTGTGTAGTGGTTTCATCGTTTCTTTGCCACGGCTGGCCAATTTTTTTTCTTCTTCTTGTTTTTTCCAAATTTAAAATGTGCAGTTACAAACAATATGAACGTCGTTGAGGTTATTTCTTCTCAAAAGGTTAGGAAGGATGGCAGCAGGGGCAAACTTTTACTTCACAACGGGTACGTGTACCAGTATCATTCCAGAAACAAAGGGGGGACCTCATTTTATTGGCGGTGTGAGGAGCGGAAAATATGCAATGCACGGTAAGTGCCGAGGATGTGCTAATGACCTTGCCTGATAGAAATTTATTGAGGGGTATTGTTAATTCCGTACAAAATAAAGAGCGGCCGCCAGTTCCAGCTTCGTTACAGGATATCGTTATCGAACCACCGTACAACTCGACAAAAAATCAAGAATTATTCCTACATTATGACTCGGCAGAGGCCTTACCGGATAATAGATTTTTAATTTTTACAACAGAAGGAAACTTAAGAATCTTATCAACTTCCAGGCTGATTTACGGTGATGGAACATTCAAGACCGTGCCGCAACAATTCATGCAGCTGTACACGATACACGGATCATTTCAGGGACACGTCTTTCCCTTAGTTTACGTCATTATGGAAAGGAAGACGCAGGAGTCATATACAGCCATGTTGCAGCAGCTATTAAACATTGCGGGAGAAATTGCCATCGCTCCGGAGTACGTTTTGACGGACTTTGAACAAGCTGCTATTAATGCTTTCCGAGCTGCATTTCCGGATGCAATATTACGGGGATGCTTGTTTCATTTCAGCCAAAGCATATGGAGAAATATTGTCAGCAGGGGTCTACGTGGAGCATATATGGATCGAGAGAACCCGGATAGAAGGCGGCAAATGCAGCAGTTTTTCGGATTACCGTTCGTCCCTCTGGAAGACTTAACAGATGTGTTTGACGATATCGTCGCGGACATTGAAGACGAAGACATACTGGACCTGGCCTCCTACATAGAGCACACATACATTCGAGGTTACCGGGCACGGGGAAGGATGGCGGCAAGACCTCCGGTTTCCCACCAGAATTCTGGAATGTACATGAATCAGTTACCAACAGAATGCACAGAACGACGAACGTTGTTGAAGGGTGGCACAGTTTATTGCAGAGGCTAATATCAGCGCACCACGTGAATATTTGGCGATTTATTGAGCACATCCAAGCTGAACAAAATGACGTAGAACAGCTTATTACGCAGATTCGAGGTGGTCACACTCAAATAAAACATCCGATTAGTCGCCGGTATATCAGTTATCAAGCCAGAGTGGAAAGTATCGTGGCTAGCTATGGGCAATACAAGGAAGATGAAGCGGTTGATGTTTATCTGAGAGCCATTTCCTACAGATTGAAAAAACCCAAGAGAATTGAAGAAGAAAACGAAGAAGGAGAGGCTTGAGGCATTACGTAAGCTGATGTCAAGCCATTTTGATTTTGCATATATGTGGACCTATGGGACATAAGGGACATTTTGCATATGGGACATTTTACATATAGGAGACATTTTGAATTCTGGACATTTTAGCTTTTGGACATTTTGTCGCGGACATTATGACAATTGGACATTTTAAATAGGACATTTTGTTTATTGGACATTTTTTATTGGACATTTCCACCTGTCACCTATAACATCAGTGCTTTACGTTTCCTCCTCGAAATAATGATATTGATTTGGAACAACACTAAATATAAGAAAAGAGATAATTATTTCAACGAATACCTGATATCTTCTAAAATCTTACAGGGGAATAATATCTAGAATGAATTTAAAGTCAGTAGATGGTGCAATAAGGAAGTAAATGTCTCTGCTGAGCCCTCTAAAGATTAGAGAAACAAAAATTTCAGGACCAAAGCATGACTGGGTCCATCCTGAATGTACAATCCAACTGAAAAACTTAAAAAAATACACAAAATATATCTAAAGCAACAAAATTTTTTAAATAAATTTTCGATACCTGAGGGTACGCTATTTGGAGCTCAAGTCAAAATAGTTTCAATGAGCCTTTAGAAGGCTTGCTCGTTTTTTTAAGTTGTCCCAGTCTTTTAGGAGACCTAAATTATAAGAACCATAATAAACAAACAACATAAAGGTAGAAAAACCTGGAGGGAGAAATTATGCCTTTTATAATAAAGGAAGTTACCTCTAGTCACTTACTGACATTTGACTTTAACATTTTTCCCGAAAATTGAAAGACATCGAATTAACAAGTTTTTAATCCAGTGAAAATATAAACGCATGAAGGACTTAACTGAAAAAAAAAGAAGAAAAAAAACTTTAATCTCGTTTCCTTACAGGAGGGTATTCAAAGATCAGTGAATAAGATCTACTATGCTGATACGAAAATAAAGGAAACTTTGAAAAAATTCATAAAAAATGTGATCCTCACTTCCTGTCCTCATCACATTGATTGCACTTTAATAGCAAAAATAATTATATAATTTCTGTGACATTAATTGAAAAGTTATTTCAAAAAGTACTCCACACTAACATAAATAGAGGAAAATACTTGACAAGTTTTTGAAATTACATCATTAATGGTAATAAAGGTTGTCTTTTCTTCCAGCCTGATGGTTTCAAAAACTTGATATTTGAACCCTTGCTTCAATTAAAATAAGTATTAAAAACATGATTTCTCTTAGAATCAGCCTAAATTCAAGTGAGAAAAAAAAAAAAAAAAAAACCAACCTGGCCGTTCTGATTACATCAAGTGATCAAGTAGTTATAATGTTGAAACACCTACTCGAATGAATTTAAAAGTTTCCATTGTGGTTCCTGAAAACTTAACTTTCTCTTAAAAATAAATAAATGCAAATTTTTACTAACATAAAATAAATGAAAAATAGGCATAAAAACACTGGTGAAACTTAAAAAAAAGAGGAAGTCTAAGTTACAACATTCGGAGACTATTAGACTCTATATTAAATATATCACAGCACTCACTTTTCTTGACCCTGTCTTGAATAGACAGAGGCGATACCAGGAACTATTTCCACTTGGAAAGGTTCATAATCCAGCAGCTCCCCATCTACCACAATGTGACTGCCAGTGGACTTTGGTTCCAATCTGAATGCCTGAACAGGAATCACTTCAACACCCGGTACATTTACGTGTGCTCCAGATGAAAGGCCTATCAAACACTGAACATAAAAAGAACATGAAGAGATTGGTCTGAAATAGAAAACTGGACTTGGCATTTGATTCCACTGGTTTAAAATCGTGTTTTGATATTTATGATGCGGCAGGGCAAAATGTGACTTACGGTGAGGGGGGAAAATTGAGACAACTGTACAAGCAGGATCGTTGTTCCTGCGAAAAATAGCTTTCCATAACCCGCCGCACATGACTCAGTGGACCACAGGAGATTACCCAGGCCCGAAGTCTTAGAGAAGAAAGCCTTTTCCCTCATTGATATCGCACCTTCTCCGGCTGTATCTCTCACATCCTTGTTTCCCCTCATGGCAGCATGCATCAAATTGCGATTATCCGGAATATACGATCACATATCTCATCCAGGGTGTCTACAAGATTTTCAAAATGAAATTCCCTGACAATTCCAGGTTTACCATGACAAAAAATGACAAAATTCCCTGACTTTTTGGGTTTAGCCATACGATGAACTAATTAGAAAATATTAAAAAAAAACTATCCTTAGGAATGACCCCGTAAAGTCGTATTCTGAATTACCATGGCTTTGGAAGGAGTTGAGTAATACTTTTGAAAGGAACGAGATCCTAAATACTCGAAATAAAGCTAATTCCAAAATGGTATACTTAGACTAAAATTCACCTTCAAAATTTAATTTTTAAGCTCTACTACGCTCTCTTTCTGACATATTGCCCCGTATACTTTTGAAAATTCAAACTATAGTTCACCCCGGTGGTTTCATAAATACTGGCATATTACTTAGTGCCCTGAAAATACAAGTCTCTTTTTCTTAAAATATAAAACAAGAGTTGTAAATGTGCCTAACTTAGGTAGATTTTGCTATAATCAAGAGGAAATACGAGTCTCTTCTCGATTTTAGATAAATTTGCTTGATTCGGGTTTTTTTTTTTTTTTTAAGGTCAATTAATTCAATGGATTCCAGAACCTATTGTTGGTATTGAATTTGTCTTAGACTCAACAAGCGTTGGCTTGTTAGAATATAATCCACCGATAATATTTCTATCAAGGTGGATGCACCAGTTGTGAACATGTTGATTTAAGAACCAGAAAAATTTCATGCAAAATGCAGTTGACATTAAATATTTCTTTACTCAGTTAAAGAAAAACTAAAATTCTAGCACTTTCATTACATTTCCTAACTTATTTAAAAAATTGATTAACCATCTGCTCATAACTGGGGCACTTAGTTTCCTATCATTATTTACTGTAATTTTCTGCTGTTAGCAAGTTAACTTCATTCAAGTCTATTTAGTCTATCTTGCCATTTGGCATGAATTAAGTAGATAAATTAAATAGGGCAGATCGATTCGATCTTTAAAGTTAGCGAACACACATTAGTGAACCTAGCGGCCGTGTTGCAAACTGGTTGAACAGAGCAGTTTACATTATCAGCCACGCGAGCGCGCTACTCGGCCAATTCGGCAGTGACGAGCAAAAACAGCCGCGAAATGTTCGAATTGCGAAAATTCCCTGACTTTCACCGGTTTTCGATCAAATTCCCTGACTTTTCCCGGTTTTCCAGACAGTGATCAAATTCCCTGATTTTTCCCGGTTTTCCAGACCTGCAGACACCCTGTCATCTGATTGTGAGTCGCCCACTTTACTGATACGGAAGACAAGATATGTCTCACTGGGTCAACTGTCGGTTAGATTAATTTTATCTCGAAGCGTACAGAGGACCCATTGCTCTTGGCGCCCTAGCCCTGCTGATATCTAGGTGCCAGCGCGTGTGCAAAGCGCCATGCAAGCGGGGGGGGGGGGCAAACAGCCTTTGTGTTCGAGCTAGTTGAAGATTAATACGATTTTATTTTGCTTTTTAATACTACTTTCTTTTTAAACACTCAAAATATTCCAAACTTTTATAACAACAATCGTTGGTTGTGGATCACTCCCCTTTAATATTGTCTTGATTAAGGTCCGAAATGAAAAATTGTTGATCTTGTTTCAATCATGTTTAATCTTCATAGTATTTTCTTCCCTTTTATGTAATACACGGTCCCCCCCCCCCAAATGTTAGATTAAAGGGCATAACTTGATAAGACCAAGAAACTGTAAATGATGCCTCAGTGGGTTTTTGGATGAAATATTTTGCTCTTACCAAAGCTTTAGTGAAGAGTGCTAAAGAACACGGATGAATATTTTCATAAAATTTAAATTAAATGAATTTTCTGTCTCAAGCAATGAGTTTCTTTCAATAATTTGGCTGATTCAAAGAATAAATTAATCAAGAAAAAGAAAACTCCTAAATATAGAGATGTAATTTTTGTATCTTTGAAATTGAAAAAATGATTTCATCGGTGGGTGGATTTCAGCTAATGGGATAAAATATGGGAAAGACGTGTAACTGGTTGCTCAAAACTTTCAATTATAATATTTTCTCTCTATGTTCGGTTTTTTTGCGTAGAAGCAGGTCACACCAACCACGAAAAAATTTCTCAGGAGATTTGAATAACTCTAAACCTTTTTTTCAACGTACTAAACAGTGAAAATATCAGTTTGGTGACGTGTAACTTGAAGGTAGTCAATGTATCAAATCATTATATAAATAAACCAGGACCTTTTGCGAGCTTTGTCCATTTTTTTTTTTTTTAAGTCTTGAATGTATATTGTTTGATATAATATGCATTGAAACACCAGAAAACTATAATATTCAATTTAATTTGAGACTTGAAGCAAGTAACTCAATATTATGTAAGTTTGGTGACGCTATGTGTTTTAGTTTGTGGCCACTCAAGAGACAGCGCTTGTGTGCAGATTAAGGCATGACTGAGTGCGGAAGTGGAGAACGAACAGGTGTGCACTTGATAAGTCCACATATTCCTTCCAATTTCAGCATGATTTCAGTTTTTTCCATGGTTTTTGGAGTGTCTCACTTATTCAATGTCAGTTTGGTGACGCTGTTTCCCATCAAAACTTTTGGTGGAATATGTGAGCGAATATTATATAAATATTTTTTTCTTGCATCTACAGGTGGCCTTTCAACCTAACTTCAATGACTCGTTTGATTTTGTTACTGTAAATTGGCAGGAAAAATTCATAACAGCAAAATGTCAGGTTTGGTGACGTCACCAAACCTGACATGTCCAATCCAAACTGACATGTCACGCTTGGTACAGAAAAATAATCGTAAAGATATTGCGATGTACGTAATTAAATGCAATAGTATGGAGATTACAGCAAAGTAGCCTTTAGCTTGATACGGCCAAATCACTTTTCAACTTTTTTTCAGAACCGTTTTCTCCCATTAGCTGAAATCCACCCCAGTAGAGGAGTAGAAATGAATCAAAATTTAAAAAAATTCATAAATCAACAAAAATGTAGCAACAAAATATAACAAAAATACATCAATAATAACAAAATAAATCAATTTAATAAAAAGAAATACAATCTTCTACGTCATATGTTACATGCCTGTCCTTGAAGACTAATGAAGAAATCTAAGTCCTCAATATTAGGTAACTTTGTTGATGTCATCTCGCCTATTGTTAGGAACCGGGAGGAAATACTGAGAAAGTTAGAAAAAAATTATTACCTTCAGGGTGGACGGTGGGCCAAATATTCAACATTAAAATCGAGATTTTGTAAAACTAAGACTAAAACACCGAGATCGTTGAGAGGAGGGTGGCATACCTCTTGACAAAAGAGCTAAGATGACCTTGATTAGCACTTGAAGCACCCAAAAGAAAGGAAGTTAAAAGGGGGTGGTATCTGAGCTTATTTGACCTAAATATTGAACACGATTAACTGACTGTTTAAAAAAATAATGAAGATTTGGGAATTGAAAATATTATATATATATATATATATATATATATCAAATAAAAACAGCATGGCTCGAGTAAAAATGAGGAAAAATGGTAAAAGGTGGAAAATTTCAGGAGGCAGTCCATTTTTCAGGATGAAAGATGAACGAATTGGCTTTGAGATGAAATTGAGAATATGGGAGAAGAATGACAGTGGCATTTTGCTCAATTCTTAGTTTGAAAAAATGCACTGCAAAGCTTCACTGAAAACTATCAATAACACTGAAGAATTCATTAAAAATAATACAAAGACAATTAGAACATGTGACATATAAATATGTATTCTTTGATATTTGCATTTCCCTCCCTGTCTCTGTCTGGTGTCTGTACTCCTATTGGCGGATCCAGTCACATGACTTGATCCACCAATGGGAGAGGCGGACACCAGATAGAGAGAGGGACGGTTATGCGAAGACGCCATCTTACTTCACTTCGGTCCTTGTCGTTTTAGCAGGTGCGTACAAGTCTTCGTCACTCCAAAATGTGAGTTTTCTTAGGGGGAAATTACCCTTTTGGGGTGATTTCTTTAGTCATGTCTTCTTCATTTGTGTTCGGGCCGGTCGGCGAGTCTCCCTATCATCCATATATCCGTGTATTCTGATTTTCTTTGCGTGCTTTCCCTGTGCTGCCCCGGCAGCATCGTTACAAACAGTCTGCGTCCAACTTTTATGCTCTGGAAAAATACTTCAAGTTTTGTTCAATTCCAAGTTCTCACACGAAGGGTGTGCTAAGCATGTTATTTGAGAGAAGTAATCAATTACACTTTTGATTCACGATTGTGAAGTGAGGTTGAGCATTAAGAGCTCTTCTCGCAGCCAATTGGTGGCTTCTTTCGCTATTGAGGAAGAGATCTTTTCCGTAGAGTGGCCTCCTTCAGCAAAACTTAGTCTGTGATTTTAGTGCACCTCGTTTGTATGAAATGAAATCATGGTAATTGTTAACAGGTTTTATCAGTCAAGGACTGGATTTCAGGCTTTGGCAGTAAGCTCAGTATTAGTTTTGATAAAAATAAGTAACGAACTCATGTAGTAGAATACCCTAGCCAAAATTTTCAGGTTTTTTCGATATGGAATACTAGGGAATGAAGTTAGTCACATTGAAATCATGAGCATAAAGGCATGATCTATTATTGTTTCTACTTTGGATGTCTAATTTCACCATTCCAATTT